ATAATTGAGCTTAAACGAGAAAGGTGTTCACCAAAAGAAATAAGAACGGGTAATTCCTCAAAAATTTGCAATGTGTTATAAAACTATAGAGAAAGAGAGATAATAGAGAAAATGTATTCTCTTAGGTGTGTTTTTCATTATAACTGAAGCTCCTATTTATAGGAAAACTTTTGATGACACAATCGTAATAATACAATTACATCGAGGGCAAAATAGTCATTCATATACATTATTTTATTATTTCATAACACTCCCCCTTGAATGACTATTTTCTAAACATATTTTAACTAATTTGAACAAAGCACAATCTGCACATCTTCAAGTGTATCTTGTGGCCATTAGGTACTGTTGCTTCAGCATGTCAGGAAAACCCAGTGGGACAAAACCTGATCATCGTGGAATCATAACATTGTTTTCTCAGGAAAACCGGTGGGACAAAACCTGAGCATTGTGGAAGCACAACATTACTCCCCCTCGAATAGATCATCTGTAGTGGAGTATACATATGCTGCCTCGTTAAAACCTTGTCAAGAAAACCCAGTGGGAAAAAACTTGATCGAAGGAAAAAGAGTACAGCTACTCCAGTCTCTCTTATCATCGTGAGGAATCATATCATTTAGCCAGTAGTCCTCATCATACCATGAATATGCCTCGTTAAAACCTTATTAGGAAAAATCCAGTTGGACAAAATCCTAATGAAGGAAAAAGAGTACACTATTCATGTGAATACGCCATCCCTGTTGCCTCATTAAAAACCTTGCTAGGAAAACTCAATGGGACAAAACCTTAGCCAAAGGAAAAAGAGTACAACGCGTATCCCATATATTTATCATAATAATCTTTCCATAATTTGCATGAGTATCATATAAATTCGTTCAGATTTTTAGATACTGATGGTATGGCATATCATACTTTGTGCAACTTTTATTTTTAAACTCATTCTCATCATCAATTGATTTCAATGGTCTTACTGCCAATAGTTCCCAATATTCACATTTCAGCTGATTTCATCATCGTCAATATTATTTATATAGGGCTATTCATTTGTTTGTGTCGACACTTATTCATTTCCATTACTCTCCGTAATATATTGAGATATCTCATTATCAATTGATTTTATCAATAGTATATATATGCCTCCTTTCATCACTTATTTGGGGAATTTCTATTTGCATAATACCAACGCCTCTGGCGTATTATTCCACCATAATATCATTTCATATATTTCTCCATCATCAGTATCATTCAGTTTATGATTCGCACACTTTCAGTGTGATGCATATATCATTTCCAAATTTCAATCATTGATTCTCCCCCTCATCTTAACAGATCCCTGATATGTATTTTTAGTATTGAATTTCTTGAGGGGAGTTCATATAGTCTCTATTTTGTTCTCGATTTCAACATATATTTGGAGGACTTTGAACTTATATCATTTGTAATGTGCACATTTTTCTTTCAAGAGTTCATCATAGCAACTGAGTATATTACTAGCTTCATCACTTTCATATGACACTTATTTTCATTTTTTCATAATCATTTCGTGTCATTCTCTGATCAAACCATCTCGTAACTTCAAGTTACATGTCATATTCACATTCTTTGATCAAATTACCTCGTAACTTCAGGTTACATTTCATATTCACATTCTTTGATCAAATCATCTCGTAACTTCAGGTTACGAATCATACACATGTGGCTTACTAGTGGATCCATAATATCTAGTAGCACACATGGAGGGGTAGTGGGCCCATATATATCGTACCCCTTTCATATTCAGATTGATCAAATATCGATTCGTAAATATTTAGCTAGTAATATTTTTCACCAATCGAGAACAAGTATCTCATATCACAAAGAATAAGTTCATCATGCAAACCATCATCAATAATATCAGTAAAAATTTTTAAAGTGATCACAATAATTCGTTTTTACACGTTTATCACAAACATTTCACATCATCTTTCGGCCGCAATAAATGCACTTTAAGTGCAGATTCTGACACACAATCTTTAAATCCAGAATCGTATCACATGCGTATCATGCCTTCTGACATACAGACTTTTAAACTCTGTTTTAGAGTCGTATCGCATACGCATCATTCCTATAAATTATCAGGCAATTCATTCCATCTTCCTTAACAAAGATCCAAATTTGCAAATGGATCTAGCACTCTTAAATATCCGTAAATATCATTCTTTTCTTCCAACAAATATCATAAAAAGGATTTATCGATCTCGATTAGAAAGATTGAGGGTGCTAATGATTAATGATATTCCAAGTGATATTCGATGGTTGATTGAAGCAAAAGTTCGATTATCTGGAGAGTTTCCAAATTCATACAAATATATGCCACGTATGGGTAAAAGTACTTTTGCAAAGAAACGAAGAGCAAAAAAATTAGGTGGATGCTACAAATGCGCTCGATGGACTTGTGACACACGGTGTAAATCTGTGGGGTACGTGTCCAGAAATCGAGAAGATAAAATAACATTTATAAAGGATGGATTGAGTAAGGAGTCTCTGGATCAAACGTTTCAACAGATTCTTGAGACACATCCCAGTGGGTATGTGCATCGTGAGCTTATGTCTTTATGGACTCAGTTCAAAAGTGAAGAAGAACGTTACAGTCTAGAAAATATTATTTCAAAAGATCAAGTTTGTAAAATTGGTCTTGTTAGTACGAAAAATCATACTAATACAGTTTAGTAGATTGTACTGTAATTTTACAAAAAAAATCTTATAGCTGCCGACAGATAAGATTTATTTAAAACTCAACACCTTATCTGTCAGTTGCAATTGTCAGAAGAAAACAATACAAATATTTATCGTTTTGTAAAACTTTCCTTTAAATAGCGAGTCATTCATCATAATCATATATCTCACAAAATTTTGAAAAATTCAGTTTATCAATAAATAGATGGAGGTTTCAGAGTCTTCTCAAGGTAATAATTTTCTTCCACCGATCAAAACCATATGTGTTCTTGGTGGTTCTAAACTGGTAAGTTTTTCTCAAACTATTGATATTGTGAGTCAGTTAGTAAAAGAGATGGGGACTCAAAAAATCAATTTGTTGTATGGAGGACTAGCAATACTTTCTATGATAGTCTCTTAATGGCTGTGTTTTGAGATAGAAGTGAAAAATAACATACTATTTCGTAGAGCTTCAACCAGAGTCGTCAAGGATTCCACAAGCATGATGCTGACTCATTCCATTTATGATTATATGATGGATATGGTGAACAATAGCGATGCTTTTATCATTCTTCCAGGCGGGTATGGAACGCTAATGACAATGTTCACCATTTCTTCTTGGGCAGAATTGAAACTTCATAACAAGCTCATAGGTCTATTGAATTTTAATAACTTCTTTCATGGTTTGCTTGGATTTTTAGACATAGGAGTATATCAAACCTTTATATCTCCTTCAATGAGAGAAGTATTCAAATCAGCTTACACGTCTGCTGAACTTATCAAAAAGCTTCAAGAATGCATCACATTTCAAGATTCTGTAGAAATACGAGGGGTCAAGCGAAAAAGAGTTTTTGATCCTTTAGATCTCTCATTATGAACCCAGATACCTATTCATGGGTGGCAGAGTTACGGAGTTTTATACTCTCGAGACGCACCCTTCTTTTATGGGTTCTATTATGTAATATTTTTCGCATTTTGTATTTATCGAGGATTCACTACCTCTTATCCATATTTCCATTATCTGAACGTTTTGTACTTGTTTCTCAGTAATAATAATATCACTTTCGCTTTTCCTCGAGATAAGTGTATAGTAGTTCATGACTATAATCATTATCATTTGTGCTTCTTCCGGAGCATTTTATTGTAAAATCTGTATGATCTCGTATCTCAATGCGATTTTGTCATTTGATATATTTCCTTAAACTCATATAATATACTGAGAAATCATTTTGTGTGATCAACTATAACTGATAACTTTTGGTACTACTTTTTTTTTTTATTTTGTTCAATCATTCAATGGTAGCTTCTAGCACCATTTCATCACTTTGTTTAATCCTAACGTGGTAGCTTCCAGTACCACTATACAATGATATCATTTAATCATTATGCCGTAACTTCCGACATCACATTAATCATGTGGTAACTTCTAGTACCATCTCATCAATATTCATATATCCATAAATTTGGAGAATTTATCAATTATTATTTCTCTAGGATCAGATTAGTCCATATAATGTCCCTTCACGATCAGGACTTTAATCAACTTTTTATATGGTTAGATACAAAGTATCATTAATTTCACTCATCGGTTATCACTTAATTTGTACTGCCCGTCGCCGGCGGCAGAGCCGCACTGGCCAGCCCATGTGTATATATAGTCATTCATATTCTTTTATCTGTACTTTCTGTTGCACATTGCTCTGGCCATTCCACATAAGCGGCTATCATTAATACACTGATTGATCTATTTAGCCGTTCAATATTATCTGTTGTTGGTGGCTTCTTTAGCCTTTTCATATGGTCGGTCATATTCCTTTATAATACTTTTGACCAATAATTGACCCGTTGGCTACCATTAAATAATATCACCTGCCGGCGGCAGAGCTGCACTGGCCGGCCCATGTAGCCACACATATTTATTTTCATATCACAAGGGTCAATCCATAAATATTCGCATTTTCATGTACTCAATATTACGATAGCCAATCCATAAATAATTCCACAATAAAAAATTCAAGCATTTCATAATTATATGATATAATAAACCATATCAATATTAGTCTTAAATCGATGCTCTATTTAAATGAAATATTATGAAATTGTGAAACTCTAATTTTAATAATATACGTCTTTCGTATTTGAGAAATATGAATTTTAAAGTTTAATTGACTATTGAAATATTTTGTTTAAATTGTCCATAAAGCATATGTCATGAACACATCATGAATATTATTGCCGACACCTTGTCAATAGTGCATGTATATATTTCTATGTGTCACTATCAATAGTGAATGCATTTATTTCAATGCGTTGCAATTCCCAACACTTATCTTGTTCACAGATATATAATCTTCCTTCCTATTTCTTTTGTCTTTTCTTTCTTTTTGCTTAAACTTATTATCTTCAGAGCACACACCTCATGGGCCAAACCATTTTTCATACTTTCATATTTAAGGAAGCACACAGAAATATTATAGAAGCACAACCTTTGTTAATAACAATAATTCATTTTCTTTTATTATTTTTATCATTCAAATCTCATGTCAATTAAATTAAGCCTCATCTAACATCAACCAATTTTAATTGACAAGCGGATATTGGTGACTGCGTGTGACCAAACAAAAATTCCAGGAGAGAAGTTTAGTTGAGGGCGAAATCAAACCTTTTCCATATTATCACTGGTCCGCTGAGCTGCCTGAGGAAAAGTTAATACCACATGGTCAAATCGTAGGCCTCCATGGCGCTGTACTTATTCCCAATCACATCGGCTATGACCACTACCCGATTTCTCAGCCTATCGACGGCGAGCCCCAGCGACGAGTTCCACCCCAAGCCGGCATCGTCGACCACCGGAATCTCCTAGGAGGAGGATGAAGAAAGACCTTGCGGTGCATCAGAGGAGAGAGACATGGCAGGGTTTTTGGTTTGAAGTACATATTTTGATATAAATCATAATTGTTTGAAGAAAATAACGATTAGTAATATTCTGATTTCTGATACAGAAGATCGTCTATAAGACGCAACTGTAGAGCATATTCTCGTCATATTGCAAATCGAGATCTAAACGGTAGAGACTTGTGCTGATAACGTGTTATAAAACTATAGAGAAAGAGAAATAATAGAGAAAATGTATTCTCTTAGGTGTGTTTTTCATTATAACTGAAACTCCTATTTATAGAAAAACTTCTGATGACACAATCGTAATAATACAATTACATCGAGGGCAAAATAGTCATTCATATACATTATTTTATTATTTCATAACACAATGCATAATTCAATTTTATTGTCAGTCCCTAATACATTTGTTTGCCCTCTGCACTCCTTAATACATTTATTTCTTTCCTTTCCTCTCCATATATGTATATATATAAAAACTCATGACAAAAGAAAAAAAAAATTGCCGGCGACCCTGCATCGTCTTCCTCACCTCGCTCTGTGTTTTCTTCTCCTTCCAATCCATGAAAGACAATAGGCTCGATTCAACTTTCAGTTCAACAATTATGCACTCATTATCTCGCAATTTCCAGATTTTCGTGCAATCACCAAATCTCCAAATCCCCTCTGGAGCCCTAATTTTCCAAAATCCAAACTCTAATCTCACTCTCCACCACCTCAAATCCTCCATCCTCCCTTCTAATTCGATCCCTCACGCTTCTATTTTCTTCACTCTCAATGAGAACCGCTCTCCGACGCGGCGACAACCCTACCGGCGGCCGGTTCACCCTGACCGCCGCCAAGAAGCCAAAAGTGGACTACTTGAATCTCCCCGGCCTCATTGCGTACGAAGAAATCCACCGCGATGCTCTCAGTTAGTGTTTCTCCCTTTCGATTCTCTTTTGTGGGTTATTTCTAGTTCATTGTTTCAATGGTTTCTGTGCATTTGCTTGAACTATTGGAAACTACGACAAGTTAAGTAATTGATGTAGGTTTGGATTTGTGTTGGTGGTAATTGGTATTTCTTTCTCGATCAATTCTTCGTGTTGATCTAGTAGTTTATGCAGTTAGTGTTTTAATCTTTTGTCAATATAATAGGAAATGAAGTTTCAATGTAGTTAAATTATGCAGTTTAAGTTTCAATATTAGAATCATAGAAGAATTCTTTTCCAGCATTTGCTCTTGAAGTCCAACAGCGGCCCGCTGAAGCTAGTTGCACGTGCCTGGAGTGCATGACGCAGTGCATTCGACATGGGCCCCGCATCCCGAGGACGTTAAGCTCGTACGCAATATGAGTGATGTTGTAGCTGCCAGTCGGGACTTCGGGAGAAACTTTCTTGGAGAAGCGGCGGCTCGAGTACCCGGGTGGCCGTGGTGGGGCCGCTTGGCAGCATGCGTGGGGGGGGCCGCGTGTCGTAGATTACGAACTTGGTGCCGAGGAAATTTGATCTGCAAAAATCGGGTAAGAGACCAATCATATGATATATTCGATTCTATGTATTTAATTTTTGTATTGATTATGGATAAACGGAAAATAGAATCCGGTCTTAATTCCAATAAATTTATACCTTAATTTGCCGATGTAAGTGCTGCTTGATCTGGAAATGTTGTCTGCATCCATAGAGATGACATAATCGGTACAAGTGGTCCTACGAGTTCTTTTCGCAGAGAGAGGAAACTTCCCATTCTCGAAGAACAAAGCTTCAGAAAGGCAAATGCTAAATTATATAACAATGCTTGTGTAATAGGTATGCACAGGCAGTTTGCATGTGGGAAACAAATCGTGTGCAATTCATGATTGACTTATTGGTCATATATAAATATAGTTAGTATGAAAAAAAATGAATTTTGATGAATTGAAGAAAAAGGCAAACATGATTGACTTATTGGTCATATATAAATATATTTAGTATGAAAAAATGAATTTTGATGAATGGAAGAAAAAGGGTATGCCGCGTATCCAGATTTCAAATCCCTAGAACTACTATGATGAGGCCGTTGGCAAAGATTTTGTCCGCGAAATCAATTATACCGTCGTGCCCTCCATAGTAGTCGACGAAGCCGCCGTAGCTCGCGTCGTGGAGGCAGCCACTACCGAACTGAGAGGTCACTTTTGTTTATTAATTTGCTCCACTTTTATTTCGTTGTCCTCATTTTCTTTTCTTTTTTCATTGCATCTGTGAGCTGGTTTGTTGGTCTGAAGTTTGTGTTCTTACATTCTTTAGTTACTGATTATGTGATACATTTGGGAAATTTTGTATAATAATATGAACTCACATGTCTTTAGTTTAGTTTACTGATTATGATGTTGGGATATAGTTTTAAAATTTTGTATAATAATATGAAGTGATCGTTAGACTCGTGCATTGTGACCAAGTTGGTCCATTTCTTGTTGATACCACCACTCTGCCACTCTGCTTTTTGTGATTGTTGATGCTCGAAATTTGATCAACATGGGAGTTCAGAGGAATTTATTGTATATTTTTTTATGTGTATTTTTTGATGAATTTCTGTAGCAAAATGGATAAAGAAAATATTGAAGATGAGGGAGGAAGAAGATGACTTCTTGCACCGCCTCATTTAGAGAAAATAATAGTACGCCCCCTTAGACTTATCTCCATGATGTCCATCATCGGGGTATTTATATATATATTTAATGGGCCCGATATTATCACAAGCGGTATTATTTTAGAGTCCAAAATTAAAATAATTGATATAATACATATCCACGTGTAATATTTTAATAGACGAGGCCAAAATTCGGTATCAATAGTAGGCCCCCGACTTTAGGGCATGTTTTAAATAGAACTGTTCTAAAGTCGCGTGTATAATCAATTTTGGCCGCGATACATGATGTATCGATGTTGGCCGGGTAATTTGAGACCCATGGAGCCAATGACGTGGATAGTAAATTTTTCTGGAATTTTGAATGGGGCCTGGATGGCCTAGTCGGACAATTTGGTACCCGTCTTTCGCGTTTTTTGCGTGGAACGTGAAGCATTTGATGTGGTAATTGTGATATGGAATTTGTGGGCACTCGGGCCCCCGAAATTGCTATCGGATTCGTGATTTTATTGAGACAACGCGATTTTTTGTTTGTGATTGGTCTTTTAGTTTTCAATTATTTCTCGGTCGGGTTATGTGTCCCCGATCTTTGATGTAATATATAAGGCGTTAGCCGAATTATTTTTTGAGATTCGACTTTTTTTACTGTGCCGAAGTCGGTTAGCCGAATTATTTTATTTTATTTTGTCGAGCTGAAGAACTCGATGTAAAATTTTTGTTTTTGTATTTTTTCCAGCCGGAAAGTTCTTATTGACTTTGCCTAACCAGTGTGGGTCCTTAAGGAATTTAGTGATCCCCGCTGATAAGGTCTTACAGTGCGCTTCACCAGCGTGGGTCCTTAAGGATTTTTTTTGGCTTGACTTGTTATGTTTATGTCAAGATGCATATATGACGCGCGTATGAATGTATGAATATATGATGAGTACGTGCAATAAATGACTAATGCACAAAAAATGATGTTACCTCGATATTTTGTCGAGTCTGACTTTATCTGCCGGTAGGTGTTGTGCCTTACCGGAATATTGTATATGAAGGAATGTCGGTATTTGTTGTTTCCGACTAAAATATTCAGCATTTTATTTATCTCGCTGAATTTTTAAAGGAACGTCGGCATTTTTTGTTTCCGACTAGATTATTCAACATTTTATTTTCCTCGCTGAATTTTTAAAGGAACGTCGGCATTTTTTGTTTCCGACGGGCATTAGCCTCACCAAATCATCTTCAGGACTTGGATGTGTTGGGCTTTTGATGTGCCGACTTTATTTTTTGGGAGTCGGCTGGCCGAATTATTTTTCGATTTTCGGCTCTTCTTTCTCCTCTTTTNCGGAAAGGTTTTATTGACTTTGCCTAGCCAGTGTGGGCTCAGCTAAAGCAGAGGCTCAACGGCGAGAAAATATAAATATCAACTCTGCCGGAGTGAAGGCTCAACAGCGAGAAAATATAGAAGCCCTCTCAGTCGGAGCAAGAGCTCAACGATGAGGTAATATATGCGTCAACTCAGCCGAAGTCGAGGCTCAACGGCGAGAAAATGTAAATATCAGCTCTGTCGGAGTCAAGGCTCACGACGAGCAATAATAGGACGTCAGCTCAGCCGGAGTCGTGGCTCACGGCGAGCAATAATAGGACGTCGGCTTAGCCGGAGTCGTGGCTCACGGCGAGCAATAATAGGACGTCGGCTCAGCCGGAGTCGTGGCTCACGACGAGCAAAATATATAGGCATCACAAATGAACAAGTGACTTCGGCTTTAGCGTAGATAAATGAAATCGGCTCCGGCATCGATAAATAAATTCGACTCCGGCATTGATAAATGAGCTCGACCCTGTCATAGGTAAGGGAATTCGGCCCTAGTAAATGAGTTCGACTTCGATTTGAATAAATGAGCTCGACCTCGTCATAGATTAGTTGATCCGGCCCCGACATTGATAAATGAATTCGGTTGACACGTCAGTCGATTTTGAATAATTTTCCGCTCGCAGCTTCCGACATACTAAATGGTAATGTGTTCACCTCGATTGTGGTTGATCACCTCGAGACGCGAATCGGTTTAGAATATACGCTATAGCAATTGCTTTAATAGACCCCAATTTCCAGCCCAATTTCAACTCACTTACTTCCTTTGATGGCCCATTCCAATTTCTACTTTATCAGCCCACACTAAACAATTTTATTAAGCCTGAAAGTTCAACACGTGGGGTAGAAACTTTTTCCCTTGTTTAAACTCCTTATCCGGATATGTGCTCAGTGTCTCTTTCTCAGTTTCTTCTTTGATTTGATTTCATTTCTCTTTCTTTCTTTTTTCTTTTTACAAAATTGCCGGCAAGAATACAACTCGTCGGTTCGACAATTTTTCAAAGGACGGACTTGGATTCAACGATTCGGACGAACGTCTTTTATTTTATTTTATTTTATTTTTGTCTCATCATCAAGGATTTCCGGTACTAGAGATGGAGATTCGAGGTCCGGCTGGAATTTGAGAGTCCGACGGTTGTGACGTGAAACAGACTGGAAGTGACAGGTGGATCTGAAGTTTTGAGCTGGTTGGGCGGATCGAAATGTTGGTTCTGGTAGCAGATGAATTATGGATTTGTGATTTACAATTCAGGTGTCGGCCGTTGTGAATTCGGCCAGTTGATGCAAGCCAGTTTTAGTCGGGCCCATCGAATGGTTTGACAGTGCTCTGGTCACCAATGCCGGCAGGTTGAGGTCGATCTCCGAATTAAGTCGGTGGTCGATTTATTGAAGTTGGCGACGTTAGCCCATTTTGGGAGGTCGACGGCTTGTCGCCGATCCCGAACTGAAGTCGGGATTGGCCTGTGACATCGGTCGTTCCATTCCGGGCTAAAGTCGGTATTTTGAAGTCGCAGAAAGAAAGTCGGTCCTCGATGACCTACGAGGTCGGTTTGCTGAGGTGCCGATGTCGGCCCGTTATTGAGGTCGGGTCTAGTCTGAGATCGGCCCCAGCTCAGCGGTTGGCCGTAGAAGACGAAGTCGGTCGGTGATGTTGTATGGTCAGACCCCGATTATGAGGTCGGAAATTCAGCCCCCGACGTGACCCCGAATTTGAAGTCGGTAGGCACAGACAATTGAGGTCGGCCATTGCAATTGAAGTCGGTCATTGATTCGAGTCGGATCTCGGTGAAGTCGGCTATCTTTGAGGTCGGTAACAGTACCGAGGTCGTAGGAGTGAAGTCGGATCCCGATGATCGACATCATGTTTCGAGGCGTTTTCGAGGTGTTTCGAGGTGTTTCGAGCTATTTTGGGCTGTTTTGGGGCTGTTTCGGATCGACCACACTATGATTTGAGGTCGAAGACCGAGATGTGACTTTGAAGCTCGTCGGTAAACGACGAGGTTAGACCTCGGTTTGTTGCGGGGTCGGTCCTGACCGTCAGTGATGAGGTCGGCCCCAAACGAATTCGGTATTTTCGATAAAGATGGAGTGGGGCCCGTGATACTGAGCGGCAACGTTCACGTGTATTGCTATGGCTGAGACAACGTGTATTTTTACTGAAATTTTCCTGTCGGTGAGACCACCGACCGTTCCCAAGCGGTGCCGTCAACTTCGCCTACTGATTTTGCCTTTAAATTTTTTTTTTTTATGGCCGGTGCTGACAGTGGCGTTGAGCCTTGCTATCGGGATGTCTCCGGCCAGTCAGATAGTATTTGTTGTGGATCCTCTTAACTTCCTCGATTGATTTTATTGCAATCCACGCATCTGTTTTGAGCTTGCTCTACCATCGAGACCTATTTCTGCGTGTCTCTTCGTTTGTTTTTTTTTTTTTGGTGATAAAAGACAGAGTCGTGGAGACGGTGTGATTCTGTCTTGTTCATGTGCAAGTGAAATTGTTTTCTTCTTTGTCGCATCTGCTACTCATACTCTGCAACTTTCATTTTCTTGCAGAATTTTTTTTGTACTGAAGGATAAGTTATGAAGAAGACTAACGTGGTGTAGTCTTGTTTTCGGTTGATATGTCGCCATTGTTGCGGCGAAGATTAACCCGAATAATTTACGGGCCATCCTTCTAGCGCCAAACTGTTGATGCTCGAAATTTGATCAACATGGGGGGTTCAGAGGAATTTATTGTATATTTTTTTTATGTGTATTTTTTGGTGATATTTTGATGAATTTCTGTAACAAAATGGATAAAGAAAATATTAAAGATGAGAGAGGAAGAAGATGACTTCCTGCACCGCCTCATTTTTTCCAGAGAGAGAGAGAAAATAATAGTACGCTCCCTCAGACTTATCTCCATGATGTCCATCATCGGGGTATTTATATATATATTTAATGGGTCCGATATTTTCACAAGCGGTATTATTTTAGAGCCCAAAATTAAAATAATTGATATAATACATATCCACGTGTAATATTTTAATAGGCGAGGCCAAAATTTGGTATCAACAGTGATGATATAATTCCAATTTCTGAGGAATTTTCTCAAGGTCTATTGATATGTAATCTCTGCATCCATTTTTTTTTCCGGTGCACCTCTGCATCCAAATTAACTTAATTTAAAGCATACTAGTCATAAAAAAAGGAATAAAAAAAAAACAAAATTTGTAAAATAGTAACAGTTTTACCACAAATAATACCACTTCTTATTCTATGCAGTACCAGTTACTGATCAATCAGTACCTACTCTGTAGAAAGAACAAAAAGTGGATTACTTCAATTTTGGTCAATATTTTTAAAATTAGTACCAAACATAGAGTAAGATAGTGTCGATATTATGGCGTTCTAGTACTAGATATATCGGGTCTTCAGTACCAACTCTGATGAACATAAAATAAAAAATGAATTTTGTAAAATAGTACCAGTTTTACCACAAATAAATACCACTTTTTCTTCTATACAGTACCAATTATTGATCAATTAGTACCTATTTTGTAGACAGAACAAAAAATGGATTACTTCAAATTTGGTCAACATTTTCAAAATTAGTACCAGACCTAGAGTAAGATAGTACCGCAATTATGGTGTTCTAATACAAGATATCGGGTCTTCAGTACCAACTCCGATGAACATAAAAAAAAAAAAACGAATTTCGTAAAATGGTACCAGTTTTTCTGGAAAAAGTACAACTTCTTCTTTTATGCAGTACTAGTTATTAATCAATTAGTACCTAATTTGTAGAAATCACAAAAAATGGATTCTTCAAATTTGGTCAACATTTTCAAAATTAGTACTAGACCTAGAGTAACATAGTACCGCAATTATGATGTTTTAGTACTAGATATCGAGTCTTCAGTACCAACTCCAACGAACATAAAAAAACAACGAATTTCGGTCTCAAATGATATTTACATGACCAATAATCACTCACATTAGTTTCTATGATATTTAGAATGTCTTTAATTAAGTTTAATCGCAAATTAGTCATGAACTCAACACACACATGAAAAAACACTCCTAATACACTTCATGTCATTAAATGATCATACATGACTACTCTAAATTCTACTCATATGTTTTAAGTTCCACTATTTTTCAGCAAAATCACGCGTGAACGATCTAATTAGTACATTATTAAGTTTTAGATTGTGTTTCATTAAGTTTAATCGCAAATTGGTCACAAACTCAACACAATAATGAAAAAACACTACTAACACTTCATCTCATTGAAATGGTACCAGTTTTGACATTAATAGTACTGCTTCTTCTTCTGTATAGTACCTGTTTTTAATCAATTAGTACCTACTTTTGGTCAACGAAAATTGATTACTTCAATTTTGGTCAACATTTGCAAAAATTGGTACCAGACCTAGAGTAAGATAGTACCAGCTCTAGGGTGTTTTAGTACTAGATATCGGGTATTTAGTACCAACTTCGACGAACAAAAAAAAATACCGAATTTCGGTCTTAAATGATGTTTATATAATTCACTATCACTCTCACACTAATTTCCATGAGATTTAAAATGTGTTTAATTAGGTTTAATAGCAAATTGGTCACGAACTCAACACACTAATGAAAAAACACTACTAATACACTTCGTTTTATTAAAGACACACTTCATTTCATTGAATGATCATATATGACTACTCCAAATTCTACCTATATGTTTTAACTTCCACAATTTCTCAACCAAATCATGTGTCAACAATCCACATGACACGGTAGACATGGAGGATTAAAGAAATCACGATTACTAAAACGGTACCAGTTTTGATAGAAATAGTACCGCTTCTTCTTCTGCGTAGTACCTGTTTTTGATTAATTAGTACCTACTTTTGGTCAAGGAAAATAGATTACTTCAATTTTGGTCAACATTTGTAAAAATTGGTACCAGACCTAGAGTAATATAGTACCAGCTTTATGGTGTTTTAGTACCAGATATCGGATATTTAATACCAACTCTGATGAACATAAAAAACACCAAATTTCAGTCTCAAATGATGTTTATATGACCTATTATCACTCTCACATTAGTTTCTATGAGATTTAAATTGTGTTTAAATAAGTTTAATCGCAAATTGGTCACGAATTCAACACACTAATGAAAAAACATTACTAATACACTTTATCTCGTTAAAAGACACACTTCATTTCATTGAATTATCATACATGACTACTCCAAATTCTACCTATATGTTTTAACTTCCACTACTTTTCAACTAAATCACGCCTGAACGATCCACGTGGCATGGTGGACATGACGGATTAATGAAATCACGATTAGTAAATTGATACCAGTTTTACCGATAATAGTACCACTTTTTCTTCTATGTAGTACCAGTTATTAATGAATTAGTACCTATTTTGTACAAAGAACAAAAAATGGATTACTTCAATTTTGGTCAACATTTTCAATATTAGTACCAGACCTAGAGTAAGATAGTACCGCGATTATGTTGTTCTAGTGCCAGATATCGGGTTTTCAGTACGAACTCCGACGAACAATAAAAAAAGATTTCGTAAATTGGTACCAATTTTACCGATAATAGTACCACACTTTCTTCTATGCAGTACCAGTTCTTGATCAATTAGTATCTACTTTGAAGAAAGAACAAAAAATGGTTTACTTCAATTTTAGTCAACATTTTCGTTGACCAAAGTAGGTACTAATTGATTTAAAATAGGTAATGATTAGAAGAAAAGTGGTACTACTATAAATAGAAACTGGTATCAGTTTAAAATTTGAAAACATAACTTCCTTAAAACTGAACAAATTAACGTAATTCATATAAACATATGTCGACTTTTTTTTAATACGACCATAATCCATATAAAAATATGTCGACTTTCCTAATGAGTACTTTTATAATTAACTAAACTAGTACTAATTTATACTCATTGATATGCCGAACAAAAATTGGTACTAATTTATACGACCATTCATATTGAAACTGTATTCTTTTTAGTGTTTTAAAATGTTTATAACGTAATTCTCGCGTTTTGGTTCTTACTACATAGCGTAAATACAATTTCATGTTGCGTATGCTATTAGAGTATAAATTTTGTTTGTTAGAAATATCAAAATATTATAATAAATTGGGTGATTAATTTAAAAAATTATTTTAATTATATTATACAAAACTAAATTTTAGAATAAGGTAATAGTTGAGTATTATGATGAATAAAATGAATGCTGTTTTATTTTGGCATGAAATTTTCGAATTTAAATGGTATGAATTTCATTTGGTATCGATATAAGTGTGCTTAGTTTTGAAAATTAAATAAGTGGTATGAATTTTATTTTGGTATGAGTATGAAAGCCGAATTTTATGTTGATTTGTTATAAACCAGGGTGATAAGATTCTCAATTTTTAGCATATTCCTATAATAATTTGTCATAAGATATTGATGATAATTTTATAAATTGACCCTATATATAATTTTCGGATGCGCCGAGCTTAAGTGGTAGGCTCATATGCTTCAGAAGCTTATTTGGCATAATTATATACTTTGTAATGACGCATGTACATGTTTTAGGCTTGAAATTACCATAAACTATTTTAGGTTTTCTTTTTTCTTAAGTTACCATATACTACTTTTACTTTTTATTATTTAAGTTATATAATAATTTTTATAAATATGTATTCTTTTTAGTTTTAAATATTTATAAAAATTTTTATTTGTATTTTATTTTTGTATATTATATCTCAAAATAATTATATTTTAACGATTTTCGATTTGACATCCATATTGCAAATACGAAAAAAAATAATTATATCGATCATTATAAAAAAACTAAATTTGAAAAAAAATTCAAAAATATAAATACAATATAACTTATTTTATAATAATATAAAATTAATTCAGTAATACACCATAAAATAATCATTTTAATGCATTTTTTCATAGATTTTAAATAATATAAGAAAATTAAGTGAAAAAATACGGACTCCATTTAGAATTAATTATTACTTTGTTAGTTATTCATTATTTTTTTTATTCATTATACATAATTTTACAATATAAAAATAATTATTTTAGTTTTTCTATTGTACAAATATTAATATATTTACGTACCCGTGTTGTACATGAGTATCGTACTAGTTGATATTTATTCCTCTTGAAAATTAGATAGATATTTGAATAAATATTTTTTGAAAAAATTTAAAATTTATAATTTAATTTTAGAAAATTAGTTGATAAATTTGAACGACAAAAATATAGATTTATAAATTTAGTATAAATAGATTTATATGAAATAAATATTAGTAAAATATATATTTTTTTTATTTGGATAGTATATACAAAAATAAATTTATATTAATTAATAAAAATTAGTATTATGAGAGATAAATAATAGAAGATGATAAAAAGAAAATAATAAACAAATATATGGAAAGAGAGAGAAAAACTAATAAAAAATTAACAAAGATTGTAATGGAAAGAGAGAGAAATATAAAAATAATATGTAAAGTTAGTTTGGTAGTGGGGTGATGTCATAACTTAATTTTATTTAGATTTATTTTAATAAGAGGGAGTTAAAAGGAAGAGTTATAGAGGGGTGGGAAGTGAAAAGGGATTTATTTAGAGGAGAGACTGAAAAGGAAGATAGAAAAGGGAGTAGAGATTTAATAAGAAGTGTCCCAAATAAGAATGAATCTTATCTATCAGATCGGATGATTCAACGGATGGAAAAAATTAAAAATCTTACACTCATTAAGGGTAATTTAGACATTACCATCCAACCATCCTACCCACCTGCAGGTCCCACTCCACATCATCATACACACACACACACACACACATAGCACTCATACACACACCACACACACACAAAACACACTCACACAACATAACACACTCCCACACACATACACACACAAGTGGGTGCTCAGTAGTCACAATCGGCCTTTGGGGCTGTCGTCCTCTATCCTTTATCGGCCGGTCGCTTTAGCCCACTTTTGTGGTGCAGACTGCTCGCCAGGGCACCTGTCAGCTCAGGTTCAAACTTTTCGTTTTGATTGTCTTTTTTTTTTTTTTCCTTTTTATTTTTTTGTTTTTGTTTGTTGTTTGGACATGTGTAGACCTGTGATTTTTTCAGCCCAATTAGGGTCTTGACAATATACAGGTTGGGGATCTGGCCTCAATCCCCCACCCTTCCGAGGTGTTTCTCCATTAAAAAAAATAAAAGAATTAGGAGTCGAAAATGCTTGAAATATGCCTGAAAAATATGACCCTAGGCGTGAGGAGACCGGCACAGACTCGAGGACACCCAAGCAGACCCGACATTGCGCTCTATCATGCTGCCCCGCGACCCGACGCCTCACTTCTGTAGTTCGTGGCTCACTGCGCGAGCAACCCCGCATCGTGCACTCTCGACGTAGAGAACTCGTCCGCGACCCGTGTCACTCGCATAGCTCGCGACCCAGCGAGTTCTTCCGCGAGCTCTCGAGTTGTATTTTTACATCTTGAAGCTCGCAACCAGCGGACCGACACTCGCGATCTCGTGTGTATGTTAGCGACCTCGCGCACTAGACGATGCACGACCTGGTGTACCCGTGCACGCTCGCAGACCAGGCCACGCGTGCAGCCGCAGCGCGACCTAGGCTATACATGCACCCGACTGGGCCGCAACCCACGCCCACATGCACCACACCCAAAAACCACACCAAGCCACCAGACGAAACTTCGAGCCCCGACGACTGCCAAAGATATTTTCCGGCCACCGGTGACATTCTTTGGCGACCGACGACTTTTTCAGCAAAATATTTCGGCGAACCTTCCGGTCGGCCGCCGTCGACATTTTCTGACCAAAAATCACTTTTTTGACCTCCTAGAATCGTTTTGAGCCGTTAGTTCCGTCAGAGGTGTCTCAGAGGTTCTTGAGCTCTTGTTGGTAAATTAGTGAATTTGGGTGGTTGTCGTTCGGTTTTGCGGCTCATTGGGCGATTTCGCAATCTATTGAATTGCGAAGCTCATGGCGAATCTTGGCGCTTGTTTTGAAATTCATCAATCTTCGGAGTTCGTGAGCGTTCACGGTTTGTCTTGACTCGTGAGTGGATTATGCCTCATGGAATATTGTTGTGAAAATTTGGGAAGATCGTTGGCGACATGTTTTGAAATTTTTTACATCCCGTGGCATTCGACGGCGTTTTAAGGCTTGTTTTGACGTTCATATATCTTGTGGTGACTCAACTTGGGCATAATCTTCGATTTGTCTTGCTATATCTTTTGGGAGCTTTTGGTCTCAACGTGCGGTCCATTTTGAAATGTTTATATTATTTGGAGGCTCGAGTCGCGCGGTGGTGTAGCGTTTTACCACTTCCATATCCTTTGGAGTTGGAGGCAATTTCGGCGATGTGATTTGTCATTATATTTTTACCCGGGACGTGGGGAAAGCCGAGTTTGTATTTTCTTACCTTCTCTTTTTTTCTATGTATTTTTATTATTTCTCTTGCTTATGTGTTTTTGTTCTTTTTGTGTCTTTGGCTCGATTCCATTACATAACTATGTTCATTCCTTGTATTTTTCCTTTCACTAGTTTGGGTATTCAATGAGGGTATTGCGTTGTTTTAAGTTTGGAAGAGGTTTTTGGGAATCTTGCATGTTTACGTGGTGGATTGGTCTAGCTTTTGAGGTTTATTTTGCATTTATTTTTTTTATACATGCAATGTGAATTTTTTTTTTCTTTTTTCGAAACGATAGATTTTATACCTCGAAAAATAAATGTACAACCTGGGCTAAGAAACCCAATACAAGGTCCCGAAGGACAGAAACAACACCCAAAGTGCATAAAACCTACTAAAAAAGGAATAAAGTACAACTCTCGGCTATGGAGAGAACCTAAAGTTGCTCCTTTATACCTTGCAAAACAAGTTATGACCACTGCCCTAATCGGCCTAGCCAAAGCTACAGCACTAACTACACAAAAGAAAACAAAACAACTCTATTAAAACTAAGCAACAAACCACAACAAAGATGATAGATAATAAACATATCAGAATAGCTCTCAAATCCCTGTGGAAGAACATGTCAAATAGAGCAGCATCCCCCAGTAACATAAAGCAACAACCCCTCAGAAGTGTATCAACACCAGCAGAGCATCAGAAAGGTCACAGATTGTAGCCAAAACCAGCAAAAGCTCTAACACAAATCATTGAGATGGGAAATTCCCTCATAACATCAGTTTGGTCCTGGAAGAGACAGAAAGTCGGTGAATTCTAACCAGTTATGTAGAGCAGCTTGCACTGTGAAGATTTCAGGCTTTTTGATTTTTTGAAAAGTCCAGAGGTTCCTGGTCTTCCAAATTTCCCAAAGAATATAAGCTGTAAGCTGAATCCTGGCATTAGAAAGGGCTGAGTGATCAAGGGTACAGATATGAGTCCACCAGCTTTTAAAGGATGTGGTATCTTGATTTTGAATGTCCCAGGACAGAGGTGACAGCTTCCAAATTGATCTGGCAAGAGGGCAATTGAGAAGAATGTGCTCCACTGTCTCAAAATCATTCCCACAACCTCTACATGTAATGTCAATATTCATTCTTCTTTTCCAGAGGTTGGTTGCAACAGGGAGAGTGTCTGTGGCACATTTCCAGAGGAAATGTTTTACTTTGCCTTGAATCTTAATTGACCAGCTCCTTTTCCTCATACCTACAATGATTTTGTGATTTGAGCTACTTTCAGCAATGTCCAGGGAGGACTATTTACCCTCCATTAAGCTTGAGTAAACTAGAGAGACATTGAGAGGATGGGTAGAGGAAGAATCCTCCCAGACTAGCTTATCAACACCAAGGGGGTCAAGTCCTCGGATTTTAAGAATTTCTTTTACTTCTGCAGGTGAGAAATATGAGTTGAGAGTGTTGAGGTCCCAGTGTCTAACAGTGTCATCCAAAAGCTCATGTACCAAGTTCAGCCTACATTGACTCTGCCTGCTGGTATGATTGTTAAGTTTTGGGATAGAGGGAATCCAAGGCTGCTTCCAAATACTAATCCTTCTGCCATTCTTAATGTTATATCTGAAGCCACCATGCCTAGAGTTCAATAGTAGAGAGTCCCTTACCTGGAGCCAACTGTTCCAAAGCCATGAGTTCCCTTGCTTCTTGAAAATGTTGAAAAAAAGCTGTCTCTTTGGAAATATATGGCCTTCAGAACTTTACTGACAAGGAGGTTTGGCTTAGTTAGGATCCTCCAAATTTGTTTAGTGATAAGAGCTCTATTCATGAGGTTGATGTCCTTGAACCCTAGCCCTCCCTTGTCTTTTGGAATTGTTATTGACTTCCAGGATTTCCAATAAATGCTTTTCTTACTTTGATCACTGTTACTCCACCAGAACTTTGCTATTGATTTGTCAATGTTTGTTTTGGTGGCATTAGGAATGAGAAAGCAAGACATTGTGTAGATGGGCAGAGCACTCAGAACTGAGTTTATAAGCACCTCTTTACCTGCAGCAGACAGAAACTTGGTTTTCCAGTTCATAATCCTACTATTGACAGATTTTTCCACATAAGCAAAAGTGTCAATTTTAGATTTTCCCAGCCTCAATGGCAGCCCAAGATATTTAGAGGATGTATGCATAGGGATTCCATGAAGAGTGTTGCAGATTTGGGATTGGATATGGTGGGGGGTGTTTTTATTGAAGAAAATAGAGGACTTTGAGAGATTGACTGATTGGCCTGTGAAAAGTTGGTATTTATTAAGGATTTCCAGCAAGAGGAGAGCTTGCTCATTAGAAGCTTGTGAAAAGAGGAGAGTGTCATCAGCAAAAAGAATGTGAGTGAGGTTGGGGCCATTTCTACTGATTTTGAGGCCTTTCCATTTACCATTATCCACTTCTGATTTAATCAAACTGGAGAAAGTTTCAGAAATAAGAATGAAAATGTAGGGAGACAGTGGGTCTCCCTGCCTAATTCCCCTTTTAGCTTGCACAAAACCTGAGGGAGTGCCATTAATATTGAATGAAAAACAGGCAGAAGATAAACAAGCCATGATCCAATTAATAAAATGAGAGTCAAAACCTAGCCTACAGAGGATTTGGCTGACACAAGGCCGTTCCACTATGTCAAAGACTTTGGACATGTCCAATTTAATGGCCATGTAATAAGAATTGCCTGATCTGTGCCTATTGAGAAAATGCAAAGATTCATGGGCAATAATGACATTATCTAAAATATATCTATCTGGAATAAAAGCAGATTGACTATCACTAATACAAAGGGGAAGCCATTTTTTGAGTTTGTTAGCTAGAATTTTAGAGATAATTTTGTAAAATACACTACAGAGACTGATAGGTCTGTAGTGAGAAACAAAAGAGGGATTTTGAATATTGGGAATTAAAGTTATAAGAGTATGGTTAAGGCTCTTGAGGATTCTGCCGGATTCAAAAAAGCTAGAGACTGAGGAGCAAAAGTCAAATTTGATTGTATCCTAGAAAAAATGGAAGAAGGAAGAGGCCATACCATCCAAGCCCGGGGCTTTGTGCTGTCTATGCTGAAGAGGGAATCTTTGATTTCTGCTTCATCCACCACGGTTAACATCTCAGTGTTCATATCTGCTGTGATGACTAATTGGATGTTTGTCAGAAGTTGCTGTCCACCTGAGGAGCCCTCAGAAGAGAAAAGTTTGGAATAGAATTCCTGTATGCAATCTGTGATCTCCTCAGTGGTGGTACATTGTGTGCCATCCTCCTTAACCAAAGTAGAGATTTTATTAATTTTTCTCCTCTGGGCTGTCTGGGCGTGAAAGTACGTGGAGTTTTTATCTCCATGTTGCAGCCATGAGATTCTGGACTTTTGCCTCCAGTATTGTTCTTCTAGTTGGTTCTCAGAGTTCAGTTCTCTCTTTCTCTCCTCCCAAAGTTGCCAATCTCTATCCTCACATGCTAGTCTTTGCTGCTCCAGTGAGGAATGAAGTTGAACCATCCTTTTCTTCCTATCAGAATTGAAATCTTTACTCCATTTCAGGAGTTCAACCCTAGTGTTCTTGATTTTGGATTGCATGTTGAACATTGGAGTGCCATTGTTGGAATGAGACCAAGCTGAATCAACTACCTCTTGGATGCCAGCTTTGGAGAGCCATCTCTGTTAAAAAAATGAATCTTTTCTTAGAATGAATCTGAGCAGATTGAGGTTTCAAGAAGATCAAACTGTGGTCAGATGAGGATCTGAAGATATTCATGACATTTGCAGATGAGTAGAATGCAGACCACCCTATAGATGCAAAAATTCTGTCTAACCGTTCTTCAACATACCCCTCTTTAGATCTGCAGTTTTCCTAAGTAAATTGGTGTCCCTGTCTAGTGGCCTGGTCTATACTAGCATAGATAAAAATACCCCAACAGGTTGCTTTCAAATTAGGGTCCCAGAATTTTACTTGAATACAAAAATAGCTTTTAAGGATTTGCAAAATAGAAATGGAAGAGTTCCAAAAAAGGAGGAGACCTCTACTCTTACCATTTGGTTCAGAAGAACACCAATTATCTCCTAAACCTAGGTTTCTACACACAGTCCTAATGAAAGGGTCTTTTTTTTTTTGTTTCAGAGTGGAAGGTAAAAACTGGGGTGTAGAGTCTCACACACTCCTTGAGTTGGGAGACTGTAGAGGGGCCACCCAACCCTCTACAGTTCCAAAAGATGGTGTTCATTGATGGGGGTGGGGCCATTCAGGGCTGGCCTCCCCCACCACAGTCATATCAAGCTTTTGTTATTTGGGACATTGCTTCTCTTCAAAATCAATGAACTCGGGATTAGAATATAGAGGATTAGGAGAAGTGGAAGTTGAAATTTGTCTTTTGACACTGGTGAGAATTGGAGAATTATTTGGGCTAGGGTTAGATTTTGGTATGGGGGTAGATTTCCTCTTCCAAGTTTTAGGTTTAATAAGAGAGGGGTGGATTTGAGGGATTTCTTGAGAAGGAGATGCACTTTGGGAGTTGTTATCAAGAATGTACTGAGGGTCCTCTGTCATTATAGAATCAGTAGTTTGGTGGATAGTAATAGGAGTAATAGGATCTGATTGCAAAGGGTCTGGGTGATTAGGGACTATGGGGGTTTCAGTGGGTAAAGTTTGCAGGGATTCTCTGGTATTAAATTTAGCTGTTTCGGATATTTGGGCAGAAGGCTTGGTTGGAGAAGGTGGTTTAGAGGAGGAAGAAGCACTAGGAATAGGAAAATCAGAGTTTATGGTTTAAGGGGAGTGGGTGAAAAGGTTCTGGTAATCCGAAGCCCGCAACCAATCCCCATACATTCCTTCCTTTACTGTCCCATTCATGAAATCTTGAGATCGAATTTCGCAATTCCTATCAAGATGGCCTAACAAGCCGCAATAGAAGCGAAGACTGACAAGCTTCTCGTATTTAAAGTCAACCACAATTTTTCGATTTTGAAGCTGGAGAGATGCACATCTAAGAAGCGGTTGAGTCAAATCGATAGACACCAGAAGCCTAATGCATTTACCTGCTAACCATCCATTTTGCTGAATAGATACGTTCTTGACTTTATTGAATGCAATTCCTATTTTGGCTCCCACTTCTGTTGAACACCAGTCAAGAGGTAAATTCCACGCTTGCACCCAAATTTCGAGTTCTTTAAAGCTAGGATGGTCAGCATGAAGGTCTGTCTGCCAATCTTTGAGAATGAGGAACTGATTCTCAAAAGTCCATGCTGTTCCCTTACTCACTTTAGTTTTATCCTCAATCTCGTCGAACACAAACTGACATAGTGATTGCTAATTTCTCGGATAGAGACAGTAGCCTTAATCTGCCAGATAATGCCTATTGCTCACCGCAGGCCTGGGAGTTCGGCTTTTTTTTTGCCATTAATTTTACGAAAAAGACTTCGCTTGCAGACTTCCGCGCTATTATGAATATCTGTTGGATTTAGGGCAATCAATTTGGCCTCCTTCCCTGATAGTTGAAAGGATGTTAATTTCTGGGTTATTTCTTCTTCCATGGTCGAAGACTGAGATGTTAACACGCGGGATGTTGGAGAAACCTAGATCCCTCCACAACCTAAAAGCCGGCCAAAGAAAAAGAAGTAACAGCGGATAAAGGGAAAAACAAATTGAACTGAGAAAAGAAGATCGATGATTAAAGAAGCAGATTTGAGAGAATAATCTCTACTAATCGGCCTTCAGAAGGGGGAATTCAGGAACTCCGGCAAGAGTAATCGGGGCTCCCATTGCGAGAGTAATCGGGGCTTTGTTTGTTGTTAAATAGACCAATTTTGTTTGTTTGAGTGGATATTGCTAACTTTAATATGGATAAACGTGTTTACTTCATTATGATATGTCCTACTTTATGCTTTACAATGAGTTAAATATTGATTATTCTAATTTGATGAAGGTTTGTTGATGTGGAACACATGATTGAGAGTTACGGTTTTGTTTTGTCCATTGTAAATCCCGATTAGTTACACTTTGAACTTGTTTTCTTTGACATTGCATATGTAAAAGCTCGTTTGCATAGTTTATTCTCCTTACTTGCACACCTCGAGGTTTGAGTTAATTGTATATTATTGATATTCACGTGGTTGTTTTGTTTAGTTTGCCCCCTCATATTAAANAAAGAGGGGGAAACTTGTTTTTGTGCCTTTGATCTTATGGCTCATTTGTTGAGTTGGCATGATAGTCCCTTGATCTTGTTGAAAATGTGTTTTTGGGGACTGAGAGTATACTTATGTGGCATGGGTAGTTTTGTAAAAAGATAACTTCTAACGAGTTGATCATGTGTGGATGAGCTTTAGATGTGTGTCTATTTTGTATGATTCAAGATCGTGGAGTACATATTTCTAAATTAAATGTTGACTACAAGGATTCAGGGATAAAATGAGTTTAGCATGTTTTGATACGTGATAAATGAATGAACAAATTTATCTTTTTGAAAGATTGACGAGATTGTTTGCTTGAGAACAAGAAAAAAACTAAGTGTGGGAGAATTGTTTTGTATATTTTTATTGTTATTTTGTGTATTTTTATGTGTTATATTTGTGTTTATTTTAGTTTATTTTAAGTTTTTCCCGGTACATTTAGTCGTTTTTGCTCGTTTTTGTGTTTTCTTGTTGTTTTGGTGTCTTGTGCTTTTTATTTCTCTTTTTTATACTTTATTTTGTAGAAAAATTGTATTCCAGAGAGTTACCCGAGAAAATCCCATGGTTTTCTAATAAAAACGAGCCATTGCCGAGAAGACCAAGGTCTCGTTGCCCGCGTCGCTGAGAGACCGCAAGCACCCGCCCGCGCGCTACCTCAGAGACCCAAGCCTGCCCCTCAGATATCCGCACGCTGTCTCCAAGACCAGCGCACTCGCGACCTAGCAGTCAGGCATGCCAGCTCGCGAGTCGGCACACCGCACGTGAGTTTCCAGTTCACGCCCGTGAATGCGTCCGCCCAGCTCGCGAATGTTGTGTTGCCTTCGTCTGCGACTTCGCGTCCCACTCTACCGACTCACGGGTTCTGGGTCGCTTGCACCCGCTCCTCATGTACTATCCTGCCAGCTCGCGAGTGCAGCACATCACGCGTGACCCGCGTGCCCGTTTTCGAAGGACACGTGCCTCCCCCACGAGACCCATCCACCCAACGACCTAGGTCGCCTGCCAGTGGACCAGCCCGCAACCGCGCGAGTGCCCAAACCATGCGAACTAGCAGAACAGAGGGTGTTTTGGGTAGATTGTGGGTGTGGATCATTTAATGTGCATTTTTCTATTGTGTGTTTCGGGTGTAAGTATAAATACTCTTAGTTCCTTTGTATTTTGGGGGGAGGACCTGATTTGCTTAGTTTTGCACTTTTGGAATTATTCTTTTTCTTATTTTTCTCTCTAGCCTTAGGCTTGTGGAGGTTCAAACTCGTGTTTTTCGGTGACTTTTTCTAGCAAAGCTTTTTCTTGGTAAAGTTTTGATCTTTTCCCATCTATTTCGCTCGAGAATGCATTAGAGAAGTAAGTACCTACTTATAGGACTTATTATCTCGATTTTAGCTCACTTTGTGTTAAGAGGTAAAAGTAGTTTCTTGGCCGGAATGTATGTGTCGAGCCTGGTTCTAGTTAAAGTTTCTATCGTTTGTCGTATTTTGGTTGCCTAGGGTAATTAGGTTGTTAAAGTTTGAATCTTTTGAGGTAAAAGTCGTGACTTTGATTAAAGGTCGATTATTTCGCAATTGATCTTTCAACTTTAGCGTCTAGTTGTGTTAGGTCGAGCTTATTTCTTTCTTTGTATCTTTTTGCAGGTTTGAACACTCCAATCCACGTAAATTTAGATCTTTCTTCCAAGCTTGCTATTTTAATTAAATCTATTTCAAGTGCTTAGTCTAAATTAGTTAAAAAATCAATCCATCAATTGTTAGAATGTCTAAGATTTTATTTTCCGTTTTGTGCTTTTGACATCTAGTTAGTAAACAAAGCTCCGAATCACATTCATCCGAGAAGACGACCCGACGGAGATCTTTTGATCGTACTCGGCTAAAAGCAACTAAACAATTATATATACTTAGTTCATTCATGATGCATATGTAATTGATACGAAATGTATATTTAGTTTATCCATAGTACATATTTTGTTATATTTAAATTAATATATACATGATGCATATTTAGTTCATTCATGATGCATATTTAATTCATATGAAATGTATATTTAGATTATCAAAAGTGCATATTTAGTTCATGTGAGATCCAATCATAGCTATTTATTTTTGTAGATCAATGACTTATACTAATCAATTGAAATTTAAATTAGTTATATAACACGTAATAATATTATTATATTTAAATTAATTATATAAAATGCACATTTTATTGAATATTTTTCGCTGCATATGTAGTTCATTCATGATGCATATTTAGTTAATAACATGTGCATTTTTAGTTCATAAACAGTGTATACTTAGTTGTTGTTATTGGTGTATATTTACTTCATAAGTATTGCATGTGCAATTCATACCCCATGCATATATAGTTCATATTAAGTGCATAGTGCTGGATGCATATTTCATTTAAACATAATTGACATTCAGGTCAAAGGGTCAACGTCGGAGTCAACGAGCCTTGCAGAAAGCCAATGATGAAAGTCAACGAGTCCCGCCGAAAGTCAACGGTCAATGCCGGAGTCAATGGTCAATGGTCGAAATAATATTTAAATAATTAAAATAAAAAAAAGAATTATTATTTAAATAAAGAGTTAAATCTTGCTACATGTATTGATACCTATCTAAGAGCTAGAACTGAGTCTCACAACTCATTTTAAGAATGCGTCTTCATTGGAATCAACATATATATATATATATATATATATATATATATATATATATATATATATATTGATCTTTTTCAATAATATATTTTTCATAATATATTTTTAAAAGTAATATATTTATAATATATTAAAAATATTATATTTTTAATAATATATAACAATAAAATAATATATTTTTAAATTATATATAAATGCTTTTTTTAGTTTTATTTTTATATAAGTATTTAATATATCTAATTAAAAAATAAATAAAAGTAAGTTTTTAATTTTTTATTTGAATTTTTTTTAAAATAATTTTATTTAATATATTTTAATCATGATTTATATTATATATTATATATTTATTTATTTTATTATTTGTTAATTGTATTTTTTAAAAATTGATTCCTACACACATGGGAATGAGAAAACCTTTCATTTACTATGGAATGGCTAATCCCATGAAGATGAGTTTTGTCATTCCCATTGAAATGGTCATTCCTTCCCAAAAAATATACCAATCATGGGAATAGGAATGAAGAAGGGAATGATCATTCTATTCCCATGTCATTCTTTCATACCAATCATGTCCTATGTGATATAGCATTTAAAAAGTTAGTTCGATTCGAACAGAGATTTATGGTATAATGATATGAGATATAAGCTTGAATATCTTTGTAAAATTATAAAATATTCTTAAGAGATATCCAAAATGGATTTGTGTGTATCTACACATCGATTGTGGAGAATTTGATTCATTCTTATATTGTTGAATTTGATTCATTCTTATATTGTTAGAATAAGACATTAAATCTCTTATAAATAAGCTATTTAGGTTTGGAGGTTTTTTGTTTGGCTGGTTTAACAATTAGATCTTGAGTATTTTTATAAACCGGCACCATTTTAATTAAAAAAATCTAATATTTTGAATAATAATGTAAATACAAATATAATACCATCAGCGGTGGATCTATAAATTTTAATGAGCCAGGGCAAAAAATAGTTGAAATTATTTTTAACTATATTGCACAAAGTACTTATATTAAAAATTAAATAAATTGTTTGAGCAATCGGGAGTTGAGCGTTTTCCTAATCAATTTTTTCTTTGACTTGATGCTAAAAAATGAAATTGAGAATGAGACTTGGTTATTTTATTTTGCTGTTTTTATTATTATTAAGAAATACACCAAAAATATTTTACATTTTTTTTAATAGGTTATAAACAAGTCATTTTGAAATATAATTTGGTAATTTAAGAAAGGTCTAAATGTCATCATTTTTGTTCCTGTTATTTTATAAAGAGTTCCTTATGGATTATCTTCTTATATATAAATATAGAGTTTTTCACGGTCAACTCTACCGCTTTGTAATTCTATATATTAATTTTTTAGGATCCGAGATAATCCATATAAATATTGATCTTTATCCAAAACTTTCAAGTTTAAATACTTGACTAACTCAAATTGTAAATATATTTTAAAAGTTAATAACACTCATGTATGTTATCATTTTTTATATATGATAAATTAAATTAGTCATATTTTGACAATCTATAATTTGACATTCATATTGTATATATAAATTAAAATAATTTTATCCATATGATCTCTATACATAATAACTTAATATTATCAATTATAATTGAAAAACAATAAATTTATCTATCAAGCTTATTATATGGTCTAACTACTAAAAATATTGTAACATAATACCGTCGAATCTGACAAGTGATGTATATCATTTTAAATTAACATAATAATGTTATTTGGTAAAAATTATTTAAAATTTTAAAATAAAAACTTGTATTTATATCTTTATAGATATTAAATATAAATTTTTAATTAACACATATTTACTATATGAATTGTATAGTTAGCACAAAAAATCCAGCCTAGGCAATTGACTAGGCTGGACCATATGTAGATCCGCCATTATACTATTGATATATAAATATGCATTCTTTTAATCAAAACTAACAAATTGATTTGCATAATAATTAAGCAAATTTGTGTTATTTTCAGTATCCAATCCACCATACGAATATTTTAATTTAAACTATAATTTTGTCCATTTACCAAAGTATCCAAGGATTTCACGTGACTCATGCAGATATCATATTATATATATTATTCATTTATATATTGATGGTGGAATCAAATCAATGGAGCTGTGATTATGAAATGATAGGGTGATAATGTGTAGCTTTTGTACGTGTACCTGATCGGCTTTAGTTTTCTTGACCCACACTGTAAAGACAAAAGCTAAAGTCCAAAAAAAGCTATTCGAATAATTGATTGAGGAAAAAACAAGGCTTTGAAATGTCACCCCATCATTTCAGACTGGGCACTGAAAACCCTAAACCCCAAATAACCCAAATAAAGACATACAAAACACACAAACAGTTGAAAGAAAAAATTAAACTCATCATGTTATATTAGAAATTTTAATTCGGGCCAAGAACTTACCTTGGAACTAAAAATATGATCAGCATATATGATATATGGCCTACAAATCCCTTTATTAAATAAGGATTGCAGCTTTAATTCATTCAAATAAAGACATCAGAAAAAGGACTAATTCAACGACTAAAACAGTACTACAACATGACCTCGAAAATTGAACAAAAAGCTAATTTATANATACAAAGTTGATTAATTTCTCAAACCACATAGTGAATCAATTTACACATACCATATTCATCAGTAAAGATTCATAACCTAAGTCCAAGAGCATAATATCAACATATACATACAAACTTATATATATAAATACTGGTGTCTCTCTAACTATACAATCTGGAAAAGCTTGAGGAAGATCCTCACAATGAAATGGAAAAATAAAGGAAAGAAAACACATCATTGACAAAAACATACAAATCTCTCAGGGGTGTAATACAATTATTCCATAGATCATATCTTAGCTCGATATAAGATAATAACAAACTTATAAACACATATATAACGGCCTGGCCCGGCCCAGCCCGTTTCACAAAATTTAATTTTTTCTTCAATCCTTCAAGGGTACAACAGCAATTAATATGCCTCTCATCAACTGCATCGATCCCATAGAAAAAAAAAAAAAATATACAATCTTGATTTTCAAAACATTAACCTTTTCGAATTACCTGTTCTGAATAGGGTTTGGTCCACTGGGCACTTCATGCTTATCTGAATATTCAAACTTTCTTCCTTTGGATCTAAATCTCCCTTTTTTACTATGGGGATTGTGAAAGTGATTCGTCTCTTGCGACTCGGTTTTCTCGAAACTAAATTCCGAGAGAAGGGTTCTTCCTCGGAACGGAAAATCAGGGCTAGTCGCCATTAAATCACCGGTGGAGTAAACAAGAATGATTAAGAGAAATGAAAGAAGAAGAAGAAGATGAAGAAAATGATATGATTTGGTGGAAATATCAAGAATTGATGATGAAGAGTTGATATTTTGCTGTGTTTTTGCCATGCAACTTAGAAATGAAAAACCTGCACCCCCCAAGAGTCCACAGGAGATCAATATCCATTAACCAGAGATATGCTATTGTGTACTTTTTTTTTTCTTACGGAATTAATATGGTGGAAGAAGAGAAAAGGAAAGAGTTAAGAAGAGTGGAGAAGATTTTTTCTGCAAAAGGAAAAGTGATTTTGAAATTCCATAAAAGAGGGTGTTGAGAAGGGAGAAAGAAAAAGTATTTAAAGGGAGCCTCACTCAAATCTCAATAGCTTCAGATGAAAGCATGGAATTTAAATAAGGCTGTGTTTGGAGTGGACCTGCCAATAAAGGCGCTTTTGCGAGTTGTGTACTCATGTAATTTCAAAGTTCAATAGTAAATTTTTTAGGTTAAATTTGAGGTTTTGGGATAAATTAAAGGTTTAATCCCTTAATTTTTTTTGGTTGAAATTGTAATTTTATGCCCGACAATTTATGACACTTGAATAATTAGAATACATTCTTTTTTATTTGCTAAACTACACTTATTAATCCCTGATGGAATAAACCGTATAGCCTTTTAAAAAAAATGTTTACTTTAATGATATGGCTTATCAATTAAGTCAATAATCCTTTTATGTTTCCATTTTATACCCCAATTAGCAGTTTTTGTAGGCGATCAGTTTTTCTTTTCTCCCTCTTCAATTATACCTCTTTTCTCGTCAATCTTCTCTATTTTTTTCTTTCCTCTATCTTCTTCCTTCTTCCTTCTCAAAAAGTACAGACCACATATCTCTAATTATTTCACATTTTTCACTTCGATTACTTACCCATAACATACTCACATAAAATACTCCTCCCCCAAATTTCTGAATTCCTTTTTTCTCTCCGCTCTCAGAATTATCTGTTCTAAAAAGGGCGACCGACGTTGACCAACATGTTGCGCTCATGACGGTGGCAAACGTACAGATCTGAAGGAGCAACTTTCAAATCAGCGACAGTGGCACCTGGGACCGGTGCGAAGATCAGACCGCGAATTGACGGTAGACCGATGCCGGATGGACTGCCCCAATCAAAGGTTTGTGTTCGGCCCTTTTTCTGAGTGGCGACGACCAGCGAACAGATACCGGAGATTGGTATTTATTTTTATGTTGATTTCTTCTTATGGTGATTATTGTTACGGATGGTAATTTTTTTTTGGTTTTGGTTATGCTAATAATTGTTACAGGGAATATTGTTATGTTTGATTTTTTATTGTTTTGGTATTCAATTTCTCATAAAACCCACTTGGAAAATTGTATCTTTGCAAAAGTTATAATTATTATTTTTATTTATTATTTATAAAAATTACATTTGTCACGTATGTGTTGCTATTTTGATTCTTTAATTGCTAAAAGATACTTGTTGATTCATTGCATGGTGAGTTATATGTCCTGTGTCTTCGTATGTGTAATTACTGTTTGTTTTTTATTTTTTTAGTGGTATGTTGGAGTCTTTGTTCTTGGTTTATAATTTAGTGGTGCTCTGTACAAGGCAATTGCAATTTTTATTCTAATCCAAAATTGTTAATTTTGTTATTGTTAATATAAAGTTGTTTTAGGGTTTTTTATGGATGTTATAATGTTTTTGTTTTGTTACATATTTTATATGTTTTTTCATAATATATATTGTTAATTTTTTAAGTTACAAAACAACTATGTGTTGTTTTTTTGTTAAATTAATTGTTATATACGTGTATAACTAGCTGATAATTATTTTTTTTTTTTTGGTGTTCTTAGGCATTCATTTTGAAAAGAAGAAGAGCAGGAAGAAGAGAGGGAACGCGTTAAATCAGACGAAGAAGAAAATGAAAAGAAGAAAAGGTAGAAGAGAGAGAACACGTGAAAAGAAAAATAAGAGAGATAAAGAAAGAGAAGGAAGAAAAGAGGATAACCGTTAAAACAATTAATTAATTATTGGGTTAATTGTTGTGTTAGTTTTTTGTAACTTCCCATTGTAACCGTTTGTATTGTTTCGGAATGAATGAAGTAATTATGGAATTCTCCCAAATCAGTTACATTTAAGGAAATGATTTTTAATAGGAAGTTATTTATGTCTTTTAGCCCTGAATGATGCCATTTGGGCCCAATTAATGATTAATTGTCATATTGTTAACGCTTACGTGTGTTTTGTATGATTTTGTTGGTATTTTATGTGTTTTTAAATATGTTATTTGCGTTTGTTTTAGTTTATTTGAGGTTTTTCTTAATCCATATAGTCGTTTTGCTCGTTTATGTGTTTTCATTTATTTTGGTGTCTTGTGTATTTTATTTCTCATTTTATTTTTTATTTTGTAGAAAAATTGTACTCCAGAGAGTCGACGAGAAATTCAATCGAAAATTTCGAAAATTCGACCGAACGAGCATATTTTTACTCGGGAAGAACTGAGCGCCCGGCTAGCTTGAACCGAGCACCCAATAGCTGAGCCAAGTGCCCAGCTAGCTCAAGCTGAGTGCTGGCCCGTCAACGCTCGTCGAAGGTGCATGTTACCGCACACATGTGCCCTCATCGACAAGGCCTCGCTCGAACGTCGCAGAAGTTGTAGGCACAACGCACGTGCATCGCTGAGAATGCACCTACACGTTGCCCCCCACAACGTCACCGAGATCGCCTAGAAGTCACTCGCCATCGTCGAGGTCTCCCAGCGCACAACCCATGCACACTCGTTGCAAACAACATCCCGACTGTGCGAGTCACCGCCTGCTACGTCTGTACTCGCCGCTAGTGCCTTCTCACGATCGCCGAGTTCCCCCGCATGACAGGCCAGACTCGCAGTGAGTTGCTTCCCGCGACAGCCCCTTCGATACTCGCTAGCGAACCCTGTTTTGTTGGCACGCGAGTTCCCATCACTTGCAACCAGTCGAAGCACATGCGCACTCACTGCGAAGCGCCACTCGCGATTGTGCGAGCGAGACATTATTGCCAAGCACACAAGGCAAACTCATAGCAAACCTAGTTTTGTCGGCCAACGTAGTGTTGTTTTCATTAAATGTGTGTTTTAAGTGTGTTTTTGTGGTGTGGCTATAAATAAACTAAATCTTTTGTAATTTGGTAACCACTCTTTCATTTCTCAACTTTCTAGTTGGGGAATTAGCTATTTTTGCTCTCTCTCTAGTTCATGTATGGAGCTTCAAGACTTGAATTTTTCGGCGGTGTCTTTTTAATTAATGTTTCGAGTTTTTCGCGTTTATTTCATCCAGGCATGCAGTAGGAAAGTAAGTACCTAGTTTAGACTTATTATTTCGACGTTGCTCTATTTTCGCTTACTACATGTTTGAGATAAACATGGTGTCTTGATCATAATTCATGTGGATTGACTCGGTTTTTGTTAAAGTTCTTATCATTTCTTTTGTTTTGCTAATCTAATGTTATTAGTTGGTTAAAGGTCGAATCTTTCAAGGTAAAGTCGATACTTTGTTAAAAGGCCAGTTATTTCATAATTGAATGTTTGATTCGAGCCTATAGTTGCGGTAGACTTAGCTCGTATTTTTTGTCTTTTCTTGAGTTTTGAAGACTCCGTCTTAGTTAAAGTTTCAATCTTTAGGTAATCACTTTTAAATTCTTAGTTAAAATTAGTTTAAAATCAACTCAACCAATCTTGCAATAAGAATGTTCAGGATCTTTAATTACACCTTTTTGTGCTTTGACAACTAGTAGTAAACAAAGCTCCGAACAACCTTCCTTGAGAAGACGACTTCAGGTAGATCTTTCTATCGACTCAGCTAAACAATACAATAAAATGACGTCGTTGTCGGGGAAGACAAGTAGGACATCAAGTGTACTTAATAGTTGTTGTTTGTATATGTGTTTCTCTTGCTTTTTGTGACTTTACTTAATTTTGAGTGTTTTTCTTGATTATTTTCTCATTTGATATTTTCATACTATTTGGTGTTTGTGATTTTGTAACTAGTGTGTCGTGCTAGTCATGTTTTTCCGTTTTTTCCCATATTTTGCATTTTTTTTTTTGTCTTGGTCTCGTGTGTCTTGGATTGTTGTTCTTGTTTGAGTTAATTCACTTGAGGAGTTTCGATGGGCCGTTATAGCTATTTTTATGTCAGAAGCTCATCTCATGGATATCCCGACAATTACCAAGAAGAGATGTCGCCGCAATATGAGGAGCCACTCCATTCTTATTCGAGCTATCCACCTTCTTATTCTTATGGATGATATTCTATATCCCATGGGTATGGCCCTGGCCATTCTTACCAGGCATCTCGAGTCGAATTTGGTTATAGCATTCTGAGTCACGACGAGTTTCCTTATTACAATCCTCTACCTTCAGATTACTACTATCCGCTCCCGATTATTACAATCAACGCCTTCAACCGAGCCAACTCAAGAGTCTTCTCCAAGTCATTTAGATGATGATATAGGATACCAGACTTTGGTCGAATATACCCAATAAACTGGCTATACAGCTAAATAAGCCGATCGATCGAACAAGGCAACAAGAAGGCCGACGAGGGTCGAACATTACTAGCGCCGGACCAGAACTCTTCAGGTCGAAGATAGAACAAAGGGTACAGGGAGGTAATGACAGGTCGAGCTAGGACCCTCTAATGGCATGTTGAAAACTTGACCTGTCGGTATGGATAGTCGTATGATCGACCAGAAAGAACAAAACTTGGTTTCAGGATAGACAACATTCTATCTTGGCAAACCTCGAGCTGGGCACACTATTAGAGACTAAGGGATAAGAAGGAATTTTAATAAGGAGCATGGATAAGGCCACGTGGCTAATAGAATTGAGCAGTTCGGGAAGATCGAGAAGTTTGGGTAGTTCGGGCAGTACTATCGGACAGTTCGATACTGAAAAGTACTTTATTAGGCTCTTAGGGACTTCCTGAACTATTTTTCAATTC